AGAAATATTTGCAATCAGAAAATACATAGTATTTTTCACTGGATCCTTTAGAAGCTAGCTCTTCCTTATTCCATCACTGCTCCTCTTTCTAGCCTCCCCTCTTTATTCTGAAACTTTGTAAGCTTATGTTGGGTGGAGACCTCATTTTTAATTCTCTGTATCTTCATATCTGCTCTTCTGAAGAAGTTACTTATTCTAAATTATGTAGATGATGAAAATAAACTACAAATTAAAGACATGGATTTTCTAGAGCTTCAATGTCTAAAGTGAAATCAAGTTCTCCAGATGCAAACCTTGTATACTTAAAAACAATACTCACCCTTTCTTAATGAGACAGTGGAAATGTCATACAAGGGTAAATGGTGAAACCATAAAAACTGATATCAAACCTGTTTTAATTATGCTCCCAGGCATATTCATACTGTGACCTCCAGGCTTCATAGTCAAGGAGAGCTTATAATGCAGCACAAAATAAAGTCCTAAATAGTACTAATAATGTTATGAGGTTGAGATTGTTTTCTCTGTAACTCATTTGTGTGGGTCCCTATTATAAACTTGTAGGTGACTGGGTGGTGTTACACTGTCAGAAGGATGGTACTCTGTGAGCATTATAAAAACACTAACAACCTCTCTTGAAGAATTTATGTTGTTTTCTACGTAATTGAATTCTTATAACTTTGTTTAAAAATTGCTGAAGAGGAAAAAAGGACAATCGCAGAAGTCACCATGGGCAAATCATGGAAGCAAGCCCAGCATGCAATAATAGAAATATGGACCATTTGTTTTGTTTAGCTATAAAGTGAGGCTCTCCTGTCAGTCTTATTTATAGAAGTGCTTTAATGATCTACGGTACTAACCAAAACAGACAAGTCACAAAAGATAAACAATGTGACTCTCTCATTTGTGCTTTCTGAAATGGTTATACTCATAGAAACCAGGGCATACAGAAAGGAAGAAGAGTGTAATTTTGACCAATCAGTAGAATTTCAGATTTATAAATTGAAAAAGTTCTAGAGATTGATCATATGTTATGTAAAACACTAGCAAATTCTATAATTGATGTGGTAAAGCAGATAAATATTGTATTTTAAACCACAATGTCAGAAAATAATTTCTGGCTAAAAGGGTAAAGCATTATACAGTACATGATACCTTTATTCCTATATACTTATCTGTGATTTAATTTTTGAATTCATCAAGTACACATTCAGCATTCTCTCATGATGTTTTCTATGACGCATATCATTAAGTTCTTAAAACTTCATCTCATTTACCCCCTAAATATAATGTATTGTGATCATCTATTATGAAAGCAAAACTCTCATCTCTTCCTATAGCCTTTTCATTTTCTATCCCATATGGTACATCTGAGTGCAAATAATTCTTAAAATCTCTCTTGTCTTGTGTTGTGGAACATCCTATGTGTGTGCCTTTGTTGTTGTCATCTAAGACAACTTCACCGTTATCATCATCAAATAAAATGTCTTTAAACATTTAATTTATGTTCCTGTGTCATCTTATCAGCATCATGATTGGACAGAAAAACTTCAATAAAACGCTAATAGCACTGCTACACACTTTGACTGTATATGTGAGATTATACAATAATATAAAAAGACATAACATACAGATAATATAAGAAGACTTAATATAAATTCTAGCACAGTTAGATTATCATCACCTGTCGCTAAAATGATAAATAGGAGCTCTCAAGAACAAACTCCATGTATGAAAGTTGAACACACTTGAACATCCTCACCTACATCTCTTCTCTACTTCATGTCATCCCCAGTTGTTT